ATATATATATATATATATATATATATATATATATATATATATATATACACACACACACACACACACATATTATCCAAGGACTTTAAAGGACTTTTGAGGATTTAATTCAAGTATTTTCAGGAACTTTTTGAATGTAATTGAGGGCAATGTACAGTCTTTAATTATACAGACCAAAGAAAAAAGACAAGTTACTGTTACAGTAATATTTGATACAAACTTTGTATTTTAACACATTCATGATGAAGCGTGAAAAGAATAAAATTAAATAACGTCCAAGTGGGTTTTCTCCCCCCTAGTTTTCTGCAAATAGTTGATTTGAAATAATCTTTGACAAAGTGCTAAGTGCTAATAGTGATCAAATTTAAGTACTAGTACTTTTCAAGGGCAAAAATGATAGAACACAATATTTTTTCAAGGCTGATAGCAATTTCAAGAACTTTTCAGGGCCACAACCCAAATTCAAGGTGCAGGGCTAAATTCAAACACTTTTTTAAAAGGCTGCATAAACCCTGGTACATATAATATAACAGCCTGTTTTGCTTGGCAAAAAGGAAGAATTGCAAATTGATTTGTGTCTTCAACCACCTGTTACCCATGGGAAATGCCTGGGATCTGTTAAAACTGCAGAAGTCCACTCTTGTGCACATTCTGTGTAAAATGCTTAAAGAATGAACATTTAAGGTAGATCGGTCGTTACATGTTCCAACGTTCGAATTTTTTTAAAAATTTTTTTGTTTGAAGAGACACCCAAGTACATTAAAAATTTGCAAAAAAAATTGGGGGTCACCGACCAAATAAGAGAACTACGCCCAGATATGTTACACCCTGCATATCGCACTAGTCCCCATTCAAATCAATGGGAAAATGGGTATTTTTTCACTAAAGCATTATTTTTTATGACTTTCTGACGTTTGAATTTTTTTAAAAAACTTTTTGTGTAAAGAGGCTTCCAAGTACATTTAAATTTTGCAAAAAAAATTGGGGGTCACCGACCAAATAAGNTTATATCGTGCACATCCTGATTATGATATCATTCAGTCATCTTACCCAAGTGATATCTACCTTGTACCTACTTCCTGGTTGATAAAAACCACCTTTGATAGGATTCACAGGTCTGATTAAAAATGGGGGTTTCAACTCCTCAGTTACTTATTTTCTCAATTATTTTCATTTCTTTTGTTATTCCAAGCAACATTATTTGCCAACTTTCTACAAGTAATTATTAATATATGAAATGGGCACAGGGCCATTCATTTTCTGCTACTCAAAGGCACATTTCAATATCTGTCAGCTCTTTTCAATGTTACAAAACTGAATGTCCTTGATGTGGACAAAAGGGACTCTTATTCATTCCACCACTGGATTTGAGAAACTAACATAACATGACTATAAAATGATTCATATGCATAAACATAAGGGTGTGGTCAAGACAACTCTGGCTGTAACTCTTCTTGACCCATTTCTTAACTGTTTACATAACACGCAATACTTCCCTGGTGTGTCCACCAATGAAAGTGGCATGCTTATTTCCCCCGCCATGAGCCCCGCGATATGTGCAGTGATATATTTACATGACATTTTTATATACCAAAATGTTGACATGGGTTGGCACAATTGCAGTACGGTATGTTATTCTTCAAGACAAACCACTAAATTCATTATGAAAGTGTTTTGTATTTTTCTATGTGATTGCAATAAATGATTCAAAGATTGGCACTGGCTAAGCACCACAGGGAAATTTACAGAAAAGGCTGATTCAAAGGAAACTTCAGTGTACTCATAACGATTTTAAAAAATTCAGTGATTTTCAATGATACATTCATCCAATATTATTTGTGAGAGTCACTGATAGAGATTTAATAAAAACTTGTGAGTAAGATTTGGTATAATGAAGTAGTGAACAAGAGTTACCAGCAATCAAACAAGGGCTCAAGTTATCAATCCTTTCACAAATAAATCATTGGTTGTCCTAAATTCAGTTTCACCAAAAATCCTAAGTAAACTGTTACTCTCAACTTCATGACTGCTTTTTTCTATCTACTGTGACCCAGTATATACAGTATCAGTGCTTATCTGCCATCAAGAGAACATTGGGCCAATGTCCCACAAAAAGTTTTGAAAAATGGCCAATGTTTAGGACCGACTTGAGCTTTGTATGGACTGCTACAGATTTAGCCTGGGCAAAAGTAAAAGTTTATACAAAAAGTTTTTTTTAGCTAAGTACTATGAATATATCCTGGATAAAGGCAGACTAGAATTTTGCAGTTAACACCATCTACACACTGGAAATTTGGCATGCGTGCCTGCATGTTTTCGTGCACAAGTACAAAAGAGATGAAACAATGCTGCAGTGGAAAGCTTACAGTACTTAAAAACTTTTACACAGAATTTACAAGGTTTATCATTGTGATTTAGGAGTCTGAAAGTATGTGTTTGCATCAGTTTACAACATTAAGACATTGTGTATGGCATCTTTGTTGATTAAGCATGGCCTACATAAAATGCTTTTACGCATTCTCAAGGACAAGGTAATAAGTGCATTAAATATTAGGTAATGGTCCCAGGCTGTTGTATGAGGGGGAAGAATAAATGTGTCACTGTCTGTCAGTCTATTTCAAATAGTGACTCATCAGAGCTATAATACATATATACTGTCTGTTATTTGCTCATGTCATTTACCATACCTGTTGAATGCAGTCACACCTGCCTCCTCAGCTAAAAGCAGTACTGCAATTTATACCATAAATATATATTATAGCATTGTAAGGAATAACCCCACTTCCTTTGGCCTCTCATGTATCATTAACTAGCAGTGTAAAACAGAACAAAGTAGTTGGGGGGGGTTAAGGAGAGAGACCAGGGATACTAGTATACTCTCTTACTCCCACACTTCTGGCAAAGTTAATCAAAAGATTGCCCTTTACAACATTACAAACTAGCCTGTCTTTCTTTGGTGCAACTGTCATTGATCTAGTTATGGATTTCTGATAATTTTATACTATTCCTGGTCTATTCTCTTATATAACATATTACAAACTGCCTTATTAGAGAGTGTACAAATTTGCTATATACTCTTATCATCAAGTATAAATAGACAGCATGTTTATGTTTGAAGTAGTGTTATTTGTTCATGTCATATACCATACCTGATGAACTAAGTCACAGGTATGCCTTCCCATTTTCATACAGTAACAAGACTGTATAACATATTACCTAACCGGAGAGCACTCAAAGGACCCAGACTAAAGCTTAGGAAGAGGATATATACGGAAAGGTACTGAAAATATGAATTCTTTTTAAAAATATTATAAAACCAGGGCTTAGTTGCCCTACCCTCCTCTCTCCTAAATAATCGTCTAGCCTTAAAATTTCAATATAATTTGTTGAGGAACATTTTGAGACATTTGGGCACTATATAAAGAGACAAGCCATAGTGAATGAAATCATAACTTTCTTCATTTTTTAGACATTATAACTACCTACTAGTAAGCTAAATTTTGGTGCAGTTGTGACAACTTACATTTATTGAAAAAGTAGGCCCCGATTATTGCTAAATGAAAGAATATAGTATGACAGTCTGCAATATTTAGCATGCCAAATTGCATGACTTGCAAGTTGCAACTGCATACCATCTTGACAACCAAAAATTAAGAAGATTGTCACATTATTAACAGTGACAAACAAGTCTGTGGTATCTGTCAACCACTGCATGTAAGATGTAATTGGTGCCGTCTCTTCTCCATAAACTAACTGGCCAAATGCATATATGAGAGTTGTGCCACATATAGAAAATACCATTAATTATAACGTTTGTGTTTACAATAATTGACGAAAGAAACAAATTTAACAGTTCTTTCCCTGTTATTTGTCATCATCTTATGATAGGGTTCCCACACTGTTCTCAAGAGGATACCCCCCTCTCCACCCTTACTATCAATAAACAACCAGATTTTACCAACCTAGACTGTTTGCGTGAACACTATTGCCTAACAACTGACAATGGCATGTCTGGGGTAGCACCAGCAATTTTTTTCGCTTAGCCAAATCACCACTTTTTGTCACTTAGTTATCCAAATGGCTTTAATTTGACTAAAATTTGTCAAATCAAGCCCTTTTTGTTTAGCCAATTTAAGTCAGTTTTAGCATTTGGCTAAATTGGCGAGTGTTAGCGCTGCCCCAGCAAGTGATAAGATATATATATATATATATATATATATATATATATATATATATATATATATATATATATATATATTAAAGAAAGTGTTCTCAAGCTGGATATTTGAGCAGAGAAATCATCTAAGACATTTTAATTAATATGAGGCTGTAAGCACTGCATAATTTCATACAAGACACAAATACTTTTTATAAACTTTTTTTAACAAATGGTTAGACCAGACTATACCTTGAAAATGAAATCAGCAACTGATAAAATGGGAAAATGTTGACCTTTTTATTCATAATTTTAATTAATTAACTTTTAATGACTGTATTTTTTATTCATTTGTTATCATGCAAAATCATAACAACATACTGGTGTTGATCACCCCTGGCAACAAACAAGTTCCACCTGCATAAATAATTAAGTTCTGGTTAGTGCTTCTCCAACTTCAAAATGTCTTTCCTTCACCTCATTTACTTCACATGCTATATCTACCACATCTATATATCATGTGGATCTATATAAACATGCAATGTGCAACCACTGAATGTATAGCTATGTATACTTCAACAGCTACAGGTCATTTATGATATAATACACATAAATCTGCAGTCTCCTCGTAATATCTGCTCTGTGACTAAGACACAGGAAATAACAATGTGTGCATTGTCGCCGCCGTCTCCTTACACGGTTCATGTCTAATATAAAATCTATCATTTCAACTAAATTGCATTTTGTTTTTGTGACAATTTAATAAGATAAATAAAAATATATTATATTAATTAAAAAATACACTGTCACATCAAAAACAATATTTCTTATAGATATTAAACAATTAATGTTTTGATGACATTTTACAAAATCTATCAGCCAAATTGTTTTGCTTTCTAGGCTAGTTTGCAGGTATGGATAATGAGCTTTGCTTTATTTGATGCTAATTTTTTGGTACAATTTATGAAAATTAGTATTATGACTTTAATCCAAGTCAATCTTTTTTTTTTTACTTTTGAAATTAATGAAATAAAAATGTTAAAATTTTAATACTGTTATAAGAGATGGATGTGTACTAAAACACAATAACATTATCTTATTAACATAAGTCCACTTGTATTTCAACAATTTCAAACTTGTGTACAGTTAACAGGGTACTGTTAACTTCATTTACTGCACACAGATTATCTCTAATTGTTATTCAAGGGACTAGGCTTTCTAATTTTCACATGCACACAAAACTCTTCCCTCCGTGCTTTTGTTTAGATTCAATGATTATAAAGCAGACTACTCTAGGTTTTTAATAAACTTGCATTCTTTTTTAATCTATTATGGTTATCCAATCACCATGTTTAATACATCTGGGTTTCACTTCTGATCAGCATTAAAAGCACAAGGGTCACAATGAAAAACAATAGCCACAAATGTAAACACTATAACTCTAGGTATTATGTCAGAGCGAGATATATATTTGAAAGGATTATAAAATAATTCTAGCGTTGACTGACTCATACTCTGCTGCTGAACAGATGGGGTGAATACAGTGTACCTGTACTGCCTAAAAATGTCTCATGACCACTTAACACTACTTATAAGAATTTCATGTGAGCTACGTATCCAGTTGCCTGTTATTCATCTGTATGAAATAATGAAGAATTATGTAGGTTGTAAATCTGTATGTAAGTAAAATTTGTACACATTTGTGTAGATATATTTATTCTTAAATTTAGGGTTATTTGTTAAACGAGTTTGGTACTACGCATATACTGTACCTACTTAATGGTGTTAAATTGAACATACAAGAGAGAACAGTCGAATGACACTGCAAAGAAAAAGTGCCTCCGACAAAACTGTGTCGTAAGTGTTTATTTATGTTGTCGCACAGTCACGACCAACGTATTACTCATCTAAATTTTGTCCTCGGCTCTGGCCTGTACAAGATAACGATATCCCCCAGTTTTTAACCCTTTAGACTCACCTGATCCGTATCGAAGCTGCAGACAGATCACCACCGTTACCCATGCTATCCTTCTGCACTTCATCTCCATTTGTAAACTAGCTAGTTTAAGCTTATTTTTTCGCCCAAATGAAGGTCCTGTGGCGACAAACGACTCAACACAATAAAGCAGGAAGTTTAGTCGACACACCTAGAGTTTGCGCATGCGCGAATCTACTTCCTCGATGAGATAATCGCAAGATTACTTTACTGATGCAGTAGGTGCGATCGGTCATTGCGTCTTTCACACCAGTCGTTCATATGGTCTCTAACACCCCATTTCCATAGATTTTAAGATCGATCTATCCCTGTGGGGAGTCTCACTAGATTACTGTCAGCTTGGCCGGCTTAAGCGTCTGTCCCGCCTACTAAAAGCTGTAAGGGTGTAATTAACTATATATGGTGCCCGCTCGGCTGACTGCAATATTTAGCGTGAACCCCCAGGGAGTTAGGTCGATCTAAAACTTAATCTTAAGATCGATCTAAATCTCTGGGAAAGCACCCTAAGGCTGTATTCCCAGAGCTTTTAGATCGATCTATCCCCGCGGGGAGTCTCACTAGATTACTTCATATAATCCGGCTTAAATGCCCGTCCCGCCTAGCTACTACAAGCTGTAAGGGGGTAATTAACTTTCGTGTCCGCTCGGCTGACAGCTATTTAGCGTGAACCCCCAGAAAGTTAGGTCGATCTAAAGTAGATAGATCTAATCTCTGGAAATGGGGTCTAAATGTGAAGTCAGGCTTGGACAAATGTTTGTTCAATGTCAGCAATTGATCTAATTTTTAATTATAGATATGTACATTTTGTGTCTGCATGCGCTTTGAATGTGTGTTCACGTATCCAGCTGATCAGGACATCGCCATCTACTAGCTGAGGCACGAACGATAGATATATTAATAACAATTAAGACCGTTCTTACATTTTTTAGGTTCAATTAAAATTTTTTTTTGTTTTGAAGGCAATAAATTTTAATTTTTTTTTCGCTTTTCTTTGTTTTTTATTAATAATTTGTTTGATCTTTGATTTCTAGACACCTTAAACTATGGAGATAACAATAAAGCCCTATGTTAAAGAATCTCCAATCAAGGTTGGTGATCCTGTGCTACTGAAGAAAGAAGGATGGAAGAAGGCTGACCCACCTTTTGACCCAAAACCCCTCGTTGTGTGTGAGCAGAAGGGGTCAATGTTAACTGCTGCATGGAATGGGAAGATGGTTACCAGGAATTCATCGAGATTCAAGCCCTCTCCTGCGAACCCAGAAGACGTCCCATCATCTGATGATGATGAAGAGGACCAAACCTATCAACTTCAGCAACTCAAACCAGCCAATCATCAGATGGCACTATATAGGGCAACATTAATGCCACCAGAAAGGCCCAGACTTGAATGTAACCTGCCTTCAAAATTCAAGGATTTTATAATGAACACGCACTAAAAGGCCAGAATAGTGCCTAATTGCAGTTCTTATTGAGCATATACAGGGAAGGACAGTCTACGTACCCTTACCATAGGATCAATCTCTTAATAATTTGAAACATCTTTTATTGTTATCCATGTCATGAAACAAGTTATGATAAATATGATGACATTCTCTCAAGTGCTTGCAGTATTATTAGATTTTAATTGACTACCAGTATATCTCTTTACTTATTGCCAAAGACTGATGACTGATGACTGATGACATTTTCTTAAGTGTTTGCAGTATTATTATATTTTAGTTGACTACCAGTATATCTCTTTACTTACTGCCAAAGACTGAATGAACAACTTTCATATGATGCTATACTCATAATTAACAGACTAAAAAAAACTGTGCTCAATTTTATAAACGTTATAATTCACTTGTGCCAAGCAAACATTTTATGATTCATTTCCACAGTAACTGCGCCAATAGCCATAGTAAGGCTCAGTTCTTTAATGCAATCTTTCTTTTCTCTTTGCATCATTTTCAGAATTCATTTTTTGAGATTTTATATATGTTAAAGACAAGACCTACGTAGTTGCATACCTCTTTATTCAAGGGGGGAGGAATGTAATGTTTTGCTGAAGTGCTATGTTATAGAATATATGTAGACGTCAGAAACGCAGAGCAGGAAAATAAAAGGCTAAACGTGTATCGATAGTACTCTGGAATTTTGCATTTTTCTCTTTTCAAAAACAACTTTACAACACGTGCAACAGTTGACAAACGGAGATGAAGTGCAGAAGGATAGCATGGGTAATGGTGGTGATCTGTCTGCAGCTTCGATGCAGATCAGGTGAGTCTAGGGGTTGGTCGTGACTGCGACAACGTGGGGTTATTCCTTACAATGCTATAATATTTTTATGGTATAAAATTGCAGTATAGCTTTTAGCTGAGGAGGGTTCAACAGGTATGGTAAATGACATGAGCAAATAACAGTATATGTATTATAGCTCTGATGAGTTGCTATTTGAAGTAGACTGACAGTGATACGTTTATTCTTCCCCCTCAAACAACAGCCTGGGATCATTACCTAGTATTTAATGCACTTATTACCTTGTCCTTGGGTTTGTGGAAAAGCATTTTATGTAGGCCATGCTTAATCAACAAAGATGCCATAAAGATGTCTTTATATTGTAAACTGATGCAAACACATACTTACAGACTCAGAAATCACAATGACAAACCTTGTAAATTCTGGGTAAAAGTTATGTAAGTACTGTAAGCTTTTCACTGCAGCATTAATTGTTTCTTCTCTTTTGTATTTGTGCACAAAAACATGCAGGCATACATGCCAAATCAAGGATGAAAATGACCAAATAATTAAAATACGAGAATAATTTACAGTATTTTTAATTCAAGTTTATGCATGTTCAGCATTTGAATGAGGTTTGTCCTCAGAAAGTGAGCCTAATATGTAGAACAAAACAAACACTTTAACCACAATTTTTTTACAATGTTTTGTGTTATATTTCAGGCACAAAGAACAAACTGAATGACTATATTTCCCATTACGAGGAATTAAATTACGATGCGGATGACCTTCACAACCTTCATCTCCGAGCCAAATGGTCACTGTCTGACCAGTCCCTTAATCTCATGTTTAAAGCTCACAGCAGGTAAGTGAAAATATACGGTGTCCCTTAATACGGGATACGTAATACGGACATGCTGAAAGTGTCGGTCATGACTGGGAAAATTTATCTGGACTGGTAAAGAATTGGACTTGGTTGGTGCAAAGGACCGACAAGAGTTTTAAGAACCGCAATTTTGAATTTACAGTCATCATTCGACATACTTCACTAATAAAATAATATAAAACCCAAAACGTATTTTCCCTTCCATTTCAAACCTATTACATTCACAAACAAATTAAAGCTACCTGATGGTACTGGTATATCTGTCTCAAACGAATAGGGTGATTTTCGGTCCAACAAAAATCCAATCTATTCGGCAAATTTTTCATTACTGCCAGTCCAAATGTCTGGCCATTCTGAAAAGTCGCTTTGTCAAATTTTTCATTATTGCCAGCCCAAACGTCTGGCCATTCTGAAAAGTTTTCAGCATGTCTGGTAGAAGCACACTAGTACTGTATATTGCAAATTGAATTACCCGGTAGTTTCAGTTTATATGGGCTTTTAAAAGTCCTGTATTGAGAAGTCCAGTGACTGTTATCATAAAAGTTATCCTTAGCTTTCAAACCAGAAAATTGTAGTGTAAAGTGTAAAGGTATATTGATGGGGTCAGTAAATTAAACTGTTGGTCTGGTCATTTCTTCTTTTAAAAAAACAGAGAGGTGGAAGCTAAGGCAAAGAGAAAGTAAAAGGATTAAGAGAAGAAAAACTGAAGAAGGAGAAAAATGAAAAATGCCAGGTCACACACAGATCTTGAGTACATGTTAGGTTTGCTCATTGTTAACAGGAGAAATCAATAAACCTGTATTATCTCTAGATTGGAAGTGCAGTAATGTTTTATTATTTACAGAGGTGTAGATCAACTTAATTGGTTGAAATGAATCAAGGTGTTCATAAGTAGATCTTAAACAGGATAAATCTTAATATACATATCTTACCTTTTCTTTTGTCAGTTATTGGTGTTTCTTTGATTGACAGATTTAGATATATTTGACATATTATCCTTTGTTCATTCCACATAATATTTTGGACAGTATTAATAGAAGTAACTATATTGGTTAGTTCTCACCTACAAATTACATATTTGGATATCATGTTCAGATGTCAATTTTCATTATTAAATCTGATGTAAGTTTGTGTTTTGAATAACATTTCTTTCTTATCTGTTTATTTAAAACTTCAAAAAGATACCGTTAACCAGTATTTTTGTCCTTATCGGAGATGGTTTCCTTTAATACTTAAAAAGACTCCAAAACATTCTTTTTTTTCCAGAAATTTTAATTTGGAACTCCAAAAAGACTCCAAGATCTTCAGTAAAAATGCAGATATCGAATATGGAGATGGAAGCACAAAGCCATTGGACACCAGTTTTCTATACAGAGGGCAGTTACGGGGTAAGTGTACAAAGTATTGCTGGATGCACCTTTTACTGTTCAGCTCACTGACTGGTCACTCTGGCTAATAAGTAGAAACTTTAAAATATTTACTAGTTGAAATCAAAATTAAGTACTAGTAGTTAAAAATTAACATCAAGAGGTGATCGAAAATAATAGAAACCACGTCCTTAAATTTCCTCCAGTTTAATGCTGCTTTATGTTTATAATGTTTGTGTTCACAATCAAACTAACAATTTAGGTAGTTTTGAACTGACTCTGTGGGGACTCCTGCTGAATGTAATCAGATGAACAGAGTAACATACCTCCTCCTGGTTTTGAATAGAATACAGATTAGCTGGTGATTATACGAGTACGTTGGATACAAGAGAAGGCGAGAGCCCAATGAAGTTTGAACTACCTACCTAGTACGATAGTTTTATTGTGAATGCGCCTTATAAGTGTGTTGCCAAGTCTATTATATGATTGCCTTTGGTGGCAGCCAAATCACACATATCATCATTGAGAATACTTGCTACTGAAGTTTAAGATCAGCCACAGAAATATATAGAAATACTTTCCTTATATACACTGCTGAATATGACAGTGTCTTGTATAATGGTCATATATTTTTTGGTCATTAAAATTGTCATCATATATGTACACAATTTCTTCATATCAGAAATTGGTTAAAAAATGACATGCCTTTGATTAAGCTGGTTTATGACACAATTTGCTTAGCTTTAATGTGTTGCTATTTTCCTTTTTTTCTCGTGAAAACTTGTGGATGCATGATTTTTTTTTTTCTGCAACATAATTTTTTTCGACCACATTTTTTTTGACAAAATGGACACAACAACAGAAATAATGCACATACCATACCCTAAAATTATTTTTTTACAACCACTGAATGAAATGGAATATATCAAAAATGAAATTATAATCAACTTTCACTTTCACTTTTATTAAAATACCTAATGACTATTGAGTTTGATATTTAAGTAAGATAGAAACTTGTTGTTTTGTGTACTATGTGTAGAAGATTGGTCTTTACTTAGTCACATGATAAGCCAGTTAGATAGGCCCTCCTTGACCCTCACTCTTGGTTTTATCAGATAGAGGTAACGATGCCTGCCATCTGTAATATTGGCCTCAGATCCTCATGCATTTTGATATCAGTAATTTAGTCCAGGGGGGCAGCCATTATAGAGATTCCATCATCTTGTTTAGTTAGTTTTCTTTTCTGTACAGTGGGAAAAGGTAATTCATACATGTACTTGATAAGGACGATTTTGTTTACAACAAGATTGAGTTAATGCAGCTGACAAATGTAAAATGTTTGACTTTCACTGGCCACTTGATGTTAAGAATGTATTTGAACTGTGGATACTGAGTTTTAGTATTTTATCCCACAGAATTATGTTAACTGACCCACTAGAATCCGTACTTCCCCACAGGATATCTATTCGGTTCTAGTTGGCAAGCTTTGTAGCGAGTTGCCATATTTGATCCTCGGACTGGTAATTCCCTTTCTGAATGGGGCCACAGTATAGTAGCTAATCTGTATATTTGCGCCCCTCCCCTTCCAGGTGAGCCCGGGTCATCTGTGTATGGCAGTGTGTTAGGTGGAGTATTCACAGGAACCATTGAGTCTCCAGAGACTGGAAGGTGGCACATAGAACATGCCAACAAGTACTTCCCTAAAGAAGTCACAGAGAAGAAAAAGTTCCATTCCATCATCTACCATGAGGATCATATGGATATGGACCCATACAGGTGAGAAGCACTTCTAGAATTGTTATATATGAATGTAATCTATATTTATTATTTTAATGCCACTGAGAGATAATTTTAAAATCTGAAGATTAAGGCATGAATTTAGAGAAATATGGCATTTCTTTTTTGCCTGTTAAGATTTTGATGTATTCCTTATGTTTCTAATTTTTACTTCTTGCAAATATATAATATTATTTGCAAGCAATAACACAAACTGCAGTTGAAAGCTGATCAAAATTATCTTAAACCTTTTTTCACTTTTTTGAGAAAAACCATTAATTATTGATACTGGACAAAAGTAGTAATTAACTCCCAATATCAGTGCTCTGCTTGATTTTTAATTATTTCAAATTTTTCTTGTGGTTGAGCAAGCACAGTATTCACATGATCTTTAGCAGGACAAACACTGGTCCAGTAATGGTACATACCAAATAACATCCTAATGTTTCTGGAAAGGAGACAGTGTGCCTATTTCACAAACTGTTGTGCCACATTGTTTTATTGTGTACAAGGTCTCCTCTACCACAATTTTCATTGCTGTACCAACAAAATAACTCCACATGATATGGCTATGAGTAGAATTATCAGTTATCTGTTCGCATTACTTTTGGGCCAATATTATCATTGTTAATATGCCAAAAAATCTTTGCATTTTGAGTTTTGCATTAGATTTATTCTGGGCCAATCTTTTATGAAATGCTCTAAAACAATATCTCACAGTGAATTTTATTTTGAAGTCTATGCAAGCTGAGTGGTATTTGGTCAACCCAAAACTTTTAGAATTGTTGTGAAATGGGTCCCTTGTTTTAAAGTTATCCTGGTGATTGTATTATTTTTTATTTTTTCAGGCATATCCGCAGTGCAGCTGGTACTGCTCAGTGTGGAAATAGCAATAGTGACATTGCAGACTGGATGAGCAGAGTTCAGAATTCTGCTGTGGATGTAAAGAAAGTAGGTAAAATTGTATTTAATTATACAATGTGTATTACACCTTTATATGGCAATTTTTTTTAAATTAAAAAGGAGGGAGGACAAAGAGAGTATATTTTCCTAGATATTAATTTTTCAACCCGTATGGATATGTTATGCCATGCTGATTGTTGAATTAGTGTTGACATTACGAGATAAATTTTTCTCTGAATACTGCTCATTGTGTACTTAAATATTCATACTAAAAAAAGATTTCTGTCTATTGTATTTTGAACTAAAGAATTTAGAACAGTTTTGGAAGTAAGAAGAATTTAAGAGTTTCAAGTTCTTTGTAAAAAGGTCCTTGATTATAAGAAGTAAATGTGACTTCTTGCTTCTGCAGGGTTTGTTATAAATGGAGCTCTTGGATCCAAGTGATGTATATTATATCTAGACAGTTAACTATTTCTTTGCCATATAAATGGCATGTTAACAAGTACACAATAGAGAGCATCAAAATAAATCCAATATCTTAGTGAAAACTATCAAATGACAGTCAAAATGAGTATTTAATTTTTAACCTGAGAAGTAAATAGTCTTGACACCTATAGATGTAAAGCAAGAAAATATTCATTGCTGACACCTATATTTAACATTGGAGTATGCAGTCCTGACACCCATGTTTATGTTTCCAGAAAAGTTACAGGACGGCTACCAGGGAAGATCATCAGAGGGAGCACAATATCTATTCTGAGGCTTTGAACAGGGTGAAACGAGAGGAAGAAAACTGGCAGAAGAGAGCGACTGTCACTTTATTCACTCCGCAAAAAAACACCTGCAGTCTGCTCTTACAGTCAGACCCTGCACTGTGGGATCACATGAGACAAATGTATAGTGTATGTTATATAGTTGACGTCCAACTTGCTGCACCTTGAATATTTTGTTCTACTCTGCTCTGTTCTATTGTATGTACTCTTCTCTGCTCTAATCTACTCTCCTTTGCTCTACTCTGCTGTACTCTACTGTATTTACCCTGCTCTATTTTTTCCACTCCAGTCCTTGTTTATTAATGTCTGTATATTATGCATTATTTATATAATTTTTTTTTTAGTCTTGATTTTATTTCCTATTTGTTTGTTTATATATTTTTAGAATTTTTGTATAAAAGTTTTCTAAGGAAGGATTTTATTTTTTTGTTTGCCTTTTATGTTTTTAGATTTTAATAGAATGGGTTCTATGTCGTGATGTCAAGTGAACTAGTGCTTTAATCAAATTTTAAATATTCTCTTTATGTTTTCATTTTTATTCAACCCACAGGATGACATGCGTACAGAAGAAGCCATTATAGCCATGTTTCATACCCATGTCACGGCCATCAAGGACATATATCAGAACACAATATTTGAGACATATGATGGATCCAAGAAACTGACTGGTTATAGTTTCCGTGTTCAAAGAGTGAGGGTAAGTATTAGATATACCATGAGTCAGCAAGGTGTATTTTAAAATACACATATTACATAGGCCTTGTCGACAAATGTTGTAAATGACTAATACCACTGCATATGACAAGAGAAAAGGACCCAAAAATGATGTAGCTTGCATTCGTTGCTTGTTTGTTTATGTGAGAAACTCAACAATGGGTCTTTTTTCTAGGCATCAAAAGCAGTAAAATGTTTTTTGTATGTGTTTGTGCCTTACGCATGTTACTATGGCAGTTTCAACAGATATGATGAGAAGCACCAGAAAACAGGCCTGTTGGCTTTTCTGTGAAGTACCTCTCATGTTGTCAGAGTGAGTGAAGGCTGCAGTTGCAGTATAAAATTTACAGTTACTATTTTAACTTTTAACATAGTTTAATAGATTTTTTACAAAATCCCCAACTTTGTGGTTAATTGCCATGGACCAGAAGTATGATCTCAGACTGCCATTTAATGTTACATTTCAGATTTTCAAGCGTAGTGACTGCTCACTAGCAGCTGTTAAAGACTTCTGCATTAGATATATATCTGTCATCCACTTCCTTAACCTAAACTCTAAAATGAACCACGACAAGTACTGCCTGGCGTACATGTTCACGTATCGTGATTTCACTGGAGGCACCCTGGGACTGGCGTGGGAGGGATCAAAAAGTAAGTGGTGCAATCTTTGTTTCCTTTTGTGGTGGACAGGAGAAAGATTTTGTAATTCATGGTCAATATGTTATCATATTTCTTTATTTATTTATTTGAGATGAAAAGTTCTTTTGTCACAAACCTAGAAAAAGAAAACTCTTGTGAAGTATTTCAACATTTGGCCATCTTCAAAAGGGTATTTGATTTTTACTATCTACCAAACTGATGAAACTTTTTAAACATGAATTTTTAATCATACATTAAATCACATAAATATTTAGTTATTGTTTATGTAATTATTCATCGATGGAAGTCATGCATGCATGCACACACACATACACACACGCACAAAATAAAAATGTGACTTCTTCTTAAGGGGCATTTGGTGGCATATGTGAAAAATGGAAGGAGTACAAGGAATATGGGCGTGGCCAAGCCACCAGCACCCTCAAAGTGTACAAGAGTCTGAACACAGGCATTGTGACCTTCATTAACTATGGACAGACTGTTCCATCCAGGGTTTCCTCACTGACGCTGGCCCACGAAATCGGTCATAACTTTGGGTCACCGGTGAGTCCATAGTGTCTTGGGCACATTCGCAATGAACCTGTCTTTCTACATACTAGTAGATCAGTCTAACTTAGCACGCCTTCTCTTGGTGTTTAGTAGAATACAAAAAGCTGGTGGTTTTAAGAAAACGAGAAAGAAAAGAAAAGAAACAAAAGAGAGAGAGATATTCAAAATACTGCATTTTACTACATTTGTCATTGATTAAGTATAAAATATTCAGATGTGGAATGTGATCTACAAAATGAAACTGTACTGATTGTAGATGAATAGATGTTTTTATCAGATTAGAGAAAAGGGATATCACCTTATGACCATAGGATCCTTTTTGCTCTCATTTTGTGTTGAAAAAAATAATTAAGAACTGACTAAAGAAATATGACAAGATAAGTGGTCCAAAAAAAAGAAAAAATATATATACCACTATATAGATAAGTTAATAAGTTAATAAACAAACAAATAAATAAATAAATAATTAGATAAATACTGAAGTTCTAAAATATAAATATTTCAGCATGACCAGGGAAGCAAGTGTACACCCTACACATCAATGGGTGACAGGAACGGGAACTATATCATGTTTGCAAGTGCTACATCTGGAGAAAAACCAAACAACAAGCTGTTCTCCCCTTGCAGTAAAGACAACATCACTCTGGTTCTTGATGCTGTGAACAGGGGAGCCAACAAAGTGAACTGTCTTATTGGTAAGATTAACTACTGGCATTCAGTGTGTGTTAGATCTATACCTAGCAAAATATTGATTTTCATTCTTAATCGAGCACCTTATCACCAAAGTATACCCTAACCAAAACTGTAGAGAAAATTTCAACCCACAAACCCATTCTCCAATTCAAAATTTCTGATTTTTACCACCCATAAACAAAATTATGCAGATGGGTGAATTTTATTCATAATAGTGTACTGGTGGTTCATATACCTAAAAAAATCTTATTAAAATCTTATTATTATTATTTGTTGTTGGTGTTGTTGTGTAGGGGAGTACACAATGTTTTGACACTTACACCCCATTTCCATAGATTAGATCGACCTACTTTAGATCGACCTAACTCCCTGGGTGTTCACGCTAAATAGCTGTCAGCTAAGCGGGCACGAAAGTTAATTACCCCCCTTGCAGCTTGTAGTAGGCGGGACGGACATTTAAGCCGGATTATTTGACAGTAATCTAGTGAGACTCCCCACGAGGATAGATCGATCTAAAATCTATGGGGATGCGCCCTTACATATCTCTTCAATAATTTTGACTGATGAATTAACTACAGTATTCAGCTTCTATTTCTATAAACAAGTGGTACCTTGTGTAGTGTAAAACTTATTAATTTAAATATCTCATCCTTATGAGCAGTTATTACCCTTTTGGCATAGCAAAGAATTTGAATATTGTATAAAACAAATAAAAGTTCCCAGCCTTTTTTGTTCTTTCAGTAAGCCTTCACACTGTTAATTTGATAGTAACTATAAGGAATTTTGTCAGGTAAGGATAACTCACTTCAATATTAACCATGTAATAGATTTTATAGTGGTTAAAGATGTTTTCCACTGTAAGAAGTTACTAAATGAATCCATAGATTTTCATATCAAATCTAGAATGTTTGGCTGTCCTTACAAGTGCTGGTTTGCACATTTGTAAGAGAAAATAGTTGAGTCAGTATCTTGTTGGATGAATTTTAACAAAAAAATTGGTAATTTGATTTAATATTTATTACTTTAAAACCTATTTTGATTTTTCTCTACAGTCTAATAGATTAGGTGCTACATGAAGCATACATTTTATATCTTCTGTTGCATAAATCCTATATTATCTTCTGTGCCACAGGTAGTGAAGCTGCTTTCTGTGGAAACAACATAGTAGAAGAAGGAGAGGAATGTGACTGTGGATTTGCCAACAGCAATGGGGAATGTACAGACAAGTGCTGCAACCCAGCAGTAGAAAGTGGCAGTAGCAGTAATGCATGTAAAAGAAAGCCTGACACAGTGTGTAGGTAAGGGGAAATATGGATTGTTACAGTGCCAGATGCAGCAGTTTACTGAAGGGGAAAACAAGCATGAAAAATTTCACCTTGCTTCGCTTAGAAAATATAAAATGGTACATAAGGACAACTTTTATGTAATTTTTTGGGCAAGGAAATGGGGGCTAATTATATATTCCCTCTGTGCATGCCACCTGGATCTGCCATTAATATGGCATTTTCTGATCTTGTCTTGTTTATTTTGACTTTGTTTCATTATTTAGTAATTAAAAAGCTGATCTAAAAAAATATTTACCATTTTAGTGCATTTTAAACAGTAATAGACATATAAACCAAGTACATAAAATTTGGGTAAAGCTGTTCTGTGAATTGCTATAAATGAATGGAATCAACTTCAGCTAGATAAATTGTGAGGGAAATCATCACAGTTGAATTGTATGGCAACTGGTTATTTTTATTCATAATTTTTCCTTTCAGTCCGTCGCAAGGGCCATGCTGTGATCCGGACACCTGTAGATATGTTCCAGAATCAAAGAAGCTTGTATGTAGAGCTGCTGCAGATTGCAATGAACAACAGATTTGTAAATATCCTTGGTCTACAGGAGCATTTCACTTTTGCATTACAGACCAGTTTGCCTAATGGAAAATTGTGATAATAATTATAGTTAATTGAGATTTAGAAGTCAGATTTTCACATGGCCAGCTTTTTTATATATGACCATATGCTATGATAACTTTTAGCTGGTTTTAACTGCATGCAATTTAAATCATAAATGAAGTACTCTTTTTTTTATGTCAGTAAAATATTTGCTTTAACTCCCATCTCACAGGAGCAAACTACACTTGTCCAGACTCAACATTGAAGCCGGACTACTCACCCTGTAGAAATAATACCAAAGTATGCAAACAAGGGGTAAGTTTTTTTTCTGTTTTCAGTATATCTTATCTCAGAGATTCTTTTATAAGGATATTACTTGATGTACAATATGATTGTCATGTTATAAAACTAAACTTTTCACTTTCTACACTAAATTAAACTACAAATTACAAAGATTTTGGTCACAATGTTGTACTGAACGTACTAAATCGTAGGAAGCTTTCACTCACTATCGTTCACTTACGCTCACTTACACAAGTAACCTTTCACTCTCACGATCGATCCCAGATTCGGATGTCTAAAACTTCACGTAAGTGTGTGCGCCAGAAACCAAGTCAACCACAAGGATAAATCAACGTAACGCTGCTTTATTCAACAACTGACCCTGATTTATAACAAGAACGATCTTTTATACCAGTTTTCTTTATCATGACGATCTTAGGTAGATTTTCTGCTGCAGGACGATGTCCAATCAGCGCGCCAAAAGTTAATGAAGTCTATTTACGAAATTAGGTCATCGGGAGCGTCTCTTGATCTACGGACGCTCCCGACATATTCCTTCATTTTTTTCCGAAAAAAAAATATGATAACATTTTTTTTTTTAATTTACGTGATATTTACATTAATTACAAAATAGTATATATAATTTACGATACTCTTAAATATATTAATCTTTAATTAAAACAGTAACGGCTCGACCATGGACGGGTAGTACCGTTTTTACATGGTTAACAGTAGCAGATAACTGACCTGACTGTGCGTAATCAAAACATAGAAAACGCACGAAAACGTTTTAAAAAGGCCCTCTCCGCTGGTCTCTCTACTAGGTTCGAAGTGTCGAAGCCCCTTCCAAGGTCGAAGTGTCGAAGTCCCTTCCCAGGATCGTAGTGTCGGAGATCTTAGAATAGTTTTTTTGAAATTGTTGTAATGTGATATTTAATCAGTAGACGCTCTGGTAATTCTCAATCCCCTGATACCTAACAATGGTAGTCAAATGATCAACAAACAACAAAATGACAATAAATTCTAACATCAATGATTTACTATTATTATTATTATTATATTGTTGATGTGTAGGGGAGTACATAATGTTTTGACACTTACATATCTCTTCAATAATTTTGACCGATGAATTGACCACAGTATTCAGCTCCTATTTCTATAAACAAGTGGTACCTTGTGCATCCTGTGTAGCATAAAACTTATTGATTTAAATATCTCATTCATATGAGCAGTTATTGCCCTTTTGACATAGCAAAGAATTTGAATAGTGTAAAGCCTTTTTTTGATTTTTCAGTAAGCCTTCACACTGTTAATTTGATAGTGTAAGGAATTTTGTCAGGTAAGGATAACTCACTTCAATATTCACCAGGTAATCAACTTTATAGTAGTTAAAGACGTTTTCCATTTTCTCTTTAGGAATGCACTGGGTCTATATGTGAAAGAATGGAGAGTAATAATGTCCGCTGGGAGGAGTGCTTCATTAAAGCTGATCTTAAAGATAAAAAAGTTGACAAGACATCCTTATGTTATGTATCTTGTCGAGGTATGTTGGTTTTCTTTCTGTTATAATAACAGTCTGTGCAAAGACTTTTCAAGTTACAGACCATTGGGACCTTTAGGGTCTGAGAATTTACTGGCCAAAACACAAATTCACTGGCCCATGTCCAGTTTTCAAAAAAAAAAGAAAAATACTTGAATTAACACACTAAGATTAAACAGACTTTCTATTACAATTAAGAACAAAAATATGGGATTTTTAAAATGTTGTTTAAAAATAAGTATATCAACATTAAGTCTGAACATTAAACAAATTATTACAAATTGAGCACATGTTTCTGCTGAATAAAATCTACTGGCCCAGTCCGAGTTTTACTGAGATTGCCAGTCAAGCCAGTGGTTAATGTCATAGTTGTTATAAAATGTATTTTAAATTGTGGTTGGATAAGTATATAACTCACAGTTTCTACGTGTATAATTTTTTTAACAGGATAATTTTCTGAAATAATTCTGACATTCAACTGAGATATGTGCTATATTTTCCTAATTGTAGAAGGGAATGATTCAAAATGCTGGAGCTCTTTGAATCAAAAGGATGGCGGTTTTCCAGATACTTTTAAGGCCATGTTAAAAATTGTTACCAATGGAGATGCTATCAAAGTGCCCCCTGGTGAGTATAGTATATTGGGTGTGTATAGTTGTGAGTGGGAGTGGATGGGTGTCTAGGACGGAATAGTGGATTTTGATGGAGGTGTAGTTTATTGATAGGTGTTATATAGATGGGGTAGAATAATTTCATTGTTGGGCATGTAGTTTTGATTTGTATGATGACTTAACTATGGTTTTACAACTTGTTTTTAATGCTATACTGAGCATTTAAGGATATGAGACTTTAAATTAATTTTATTATTATTTGTTAATAGTTGTGTGTAAGGATTTAATTGGTGAAGGTTTATGAAAGACTAAATGTTTTATTTCACCAGAAAACCTCTAGCATAATAATGTTATGAATATTAGATGATATTGATAAAGATGATAACAATCATAATGACATTTATTTGTAAAGTGTATGATATTTATTTTAAATGTTCAGTAGGCTACATTTTGTTAAAAAAAAAAAAAGAAAAGAAAAACCACTTACTTTTTTTTGCAAAATGCCAGTATACCATGTTTACCTTCTTTATTTGTATCAGGTGCGCCATGCAACAATTTTGCTGGCTACTGTGATGTGTTTAATAACTGTCGAGAGGTGGATGCTAATGGACCCTTGTCAAGACTCTAGAACTAACTTTTTAACCAGGAGACACTTAATCATTGATTGTATTATTTTAAGTTGAGAAGTAGACTGGTATTGTAAATACTTTTTAAAAAGAAAGAAAGAACAAAAAAAGAAAGGAAAATGTGTGTTTCTTTAAGATTACCAAATGTAATATCCTTTTAAATCTGTCTTATAAGAAGATATTTCCAGACTTGTCTTTATAAAAACCACAAACAGTAGTCTGTAAGAATTTTAGTCAGCAGTGAAAAAGTGGAGGAGAATGTTACAAGTTTGGTCATATAAATTGTGAATTAATTCTTTCTTGCATTTGTTGTGATTCAATGTAATTTGATACACCATGAATAAAACCAACAGCTTCATGTAAGATTATTGTAGTAGAAACGTTGCATTGTATCCTTCACCTGACATGGCGCATCACACACTGCAATTCTCCGCTCTTTAAACCCACTAGACCAAGACGTGCCACACCAAGCTTCAGGCACATATTACAACATTCTTCCCAGTTTTTTTTTATAAGCAAACACACAGATAGTATACTATAGTATATAATAGTTCTTTTGAATTGTGCCAAACGCAGGTGAAGATGATTTTTCTTAATCTTTTCAGTTTTTTTTTTCTTTTTTTTTAGTTTGACATTTGATTTTGAATATGTAAAAAAATTTAGGAACCAAAATAACCTATAACTTATCGATTTTCTACATTTCTGACAGGTACTATATTTTGCAATGTTCCGAGTAACTACAGGGGCAGTCTTGTGTCTTATCTTGAATGAATGTCAAGTTGAATGTTGAATTTTCTGCATATCTCTCTTCATGCTATTTCTTTTCATATTGATTTAAGTAAGATGAAAAAACACAAAAAATGTAATACTGAGTATAATCCATGAAAAGGAGTTAAACTTGTATAAACTGATGAAAAGTATTTTTCTGTTATTTATTATTATAATGTACAAGAATGCCCAATAAATAATAGGTTTATCTATCTTTTTATACTTTCAGTGTTGACAGTACAGACTTGTATTATATTAAGATATCAGTGTTACACAGCTGAAAAAAAAAAAAATATATATATATATATATATATATATATATATATATATATATATATATATATATATATATATATATATATATATATCACTTGAACATAGTTTTTATTTCATCATTAATTGAAAATTATATCATGCCCAAGAGACATTCACCCAGGTGCAAAGTGTTGGAAAGTCGTTTTAAGGTACTGGCATGTTGATGTCAGTGAAGAGGCTGCTTCTAGCACCAGTCATTAGCTTGGGAAGTGTACCTAAGACAAGGTGGTTCTTACAAAGATAGTGATTGTTTTTGTTATTTTTGTTTAAAGTCTTTAGTGCGTAGTAGTAAAACCCCCAAGAATGATCAACCTGAACAAAGTGAATGCAAGTGTTGTTTACCTTTTTGTCAGCAATCCTCTGGTTCTCATGTTAAGAGGACAAGTCTTGGTAGTCCTGAAGACAAAGTTTCATGTTTTTCATTAGAATCTACTGTCTCCACAGTATCAACATTACCATTCACCTTGTGTATCCCACACTATAGTAGGTACTTTGATTTTTTTAAGGCGTCCAAAGTGCTTTTCCTGTTCACGGGATATTGTGTGCAGTACAACTGGCAGTAATCCAGGGGAGGGCATTAGTAGAAGTACTTGTGTAGATATATGTTTTGAAGTTGGTTTGTTGTTGTTGATCTGTGTGTGTTAATTCTTGTTGTTTGCATTCAGTTGTTCTGTAAGTTTACATTGTTTTTAATCTGAATGTTGAGAATTTGTGTTGAGAATGTTGAGAATTCTCACACAAGCATGCATGTGAGTTTGTGATTGAAAGATATATCTTTATAGTTAATTAAGCATGCACTATTTAAAGAGTTTCATCTGATTGTGAGCAATTCGTTGTTTCCTCAGTGTTTCACATTTGATTAAACACCATGATACATGCATGGTAGTTGAGGAGAACTTCACAGTTTGTGTATGTGTTTCATATAACATTTCTAATCCTTGTTAGCATATATTATGTTTATCAAGACAGAGATTCAGTAACATGGTCCAAGATTTATCTGATTGTCATTCAATGTTATGATTTATGACAGAAATATATTAGCAGTATCATTAAAAGCAGTTCTGGTAATATTTTAGTTGATATTTGACTGCTACTAAGAATGTGACCAATTTGCTGGATTTCCGTGTTTTGAATGTGGCGTCGTGTTGCTGGCTATGGAGGTGAATAGTTACAGTTTGTGCGGAATATTAATCATGTGTATTAATATACATGTAGTTTGTTGATATTCAACATATTAATACCATTCCTTTCATAGCCTATGCACACCTGAAGAGTTCTAATAAGAACGAAACGCCAGTGACTTGGAAGNTAGTTTGATAGTGTAAGGAATTTTGTCAGGTAAGGATAACTCACTTCAATATTAACCAGGTAATCAACTTTATAGTGGTTAAAGACGTTTTCCATTTTCTCTTTAGGAATGCACTGGGTCTATATGTGAAAGAATGGAGAGTAATAATGTCCGCTGGGAGGAGTGCTTCATTAAAGCTGATCTTAAAGATAAAAAAGTTGACAAGACATCCTTATGTTATGTATCTTGTCGAGGTATGTTGGTTTTCTTTCTGTTATAATAACAGTCTGTGCAAAGACTTTTCAAGTTACAGACCATTGGGACCTTTAGGGTCTGAGAATTTACTGGCCAAAACACAAATTCACTGGCCCATGTCCAGTTTTCAAAAAAAAAGAAAAATACTTGAATTAACACACTAAGATTAAACAGACTTTCTATTACAATTAAGAACAAAAATATGGGATTTTTAAAATGTTGTTTAAAAATAAGTATATCAACATTAAGTCTGAACATTAAACAAATTATTACAAATTGAGCACATGTTTCTGCTGAATAAAATCTACTGGCCCAGTCCGAGTTTTACTGAGATTGCCAGTCAAGCCAGTGGTTAATGTCGTAGTTGTTATAAAATGTATTTTAAATTGTGGTTGGATAAGTATATAACTCACAGTTTCTACGTGTATCATTTTTTTAACAGGATAATTTTCTGAAATAATTCTGACATTCAACTGAGATATGTGCTATATTTTCCTAATTGTAGAAGGGAATGATTCAAAATGCTGGAGCTCTTTGAATCAAAAGGATGGCGGTTTTCCAGATACTTTTAAGGCCATGTTAAAAACTGTTACTAATGGAGATGCTATCAAAGTGCCCCCTGGTGAGTATAGTATATTGGGTGTGTATAGTTGTGAGTGGGAGTGGATGGGTGTCTAGGACGGAATAGTGGATTTTGATGGAGGTGTAGTTTATTGATAGGTGTTATATAGATGGGGTAGAATAATTTCATTGTTGGGCATGTAGTTTTGATTTGTATGATGACTTAACTATGGTTTTACAACTTGTTTTTAATGCTATAGTATTTTAGTGTTTTAAAGTCTACTGAGCATTTAAGGATATGAGACTTTAAATTAATTTTATTATTATTTATTAATAGTTGTGTGTAAGGATTTAATTGGTGAAGGTTTATGAAAGACTAAATGTTTTATTTCACCAGAAAACCTCTAGCATAATAATGTTATGAATATTAGATGATATTGATAAAGATGATAACAATCATAATGACATTTATTTGTAAAGTGTATGATATTTATTTTAAATGTTCAGTAGGCTACATTTTGTTAAAAAAAAAAAAGAAAAAAAAAACCCACTTACTTTTTTTTGCGAAATGCCAGTATACCATGTTTACCTTCTTTATTTGTATCAGGTGCGCCATGCAACAATTTTGCTGGCTACTGTGATGTGTTTAATAACTGTCGAGAGGTGGACGCTAATGGACCCTTGTCAAGACTCTAGAACTAACTTTTTAACCAGGAGACACTTAATCATTGATTGTATTATTTTAAGTTGAGAAGTAGACTGGTATTGTAAATACTTTTTAAAAAGAAAGAAAGAACAAAAAAAGAAAGGAAAATGTGTGTTTCTTTAAGATTACCAAATGTAATATCCTTTTAAATCTGTCTTATAAGAAGATATTTCCAGACTTGTCTTTATAAAAACCACAAACAGTAGTCTGTAAGAATTTTAGTCAGCAGTGAGAAAGTGGAGGAGAATGTTACAAGTTTGGTCATATAAATTGTGAATTAATTCTTTCTTGCATTTGTTGTGATTCAATGTAATTTGATACACCATGAATAAAACCAACAGCTTCATGTAAGATTATTGTAGTAGAAACGTTGCATTGTATCCTTCACCTGACATGGCGCATCACACACTGCAATTCTCCGCTCTTTAAACCCACTAGACCAAGACGTGCCACACCAAGCTTCAGGCACATATTACAACATTCTTCCCAGTTTTTTTTTATAAGCAAACACACAGATAGTATACTATAGTATATAATAGTTCTTTTGAATTGTGCCAAACGCAGGTGAAGATGATTTTTCTTAATCTGTTCAGTTTTTTTTTTCTTTTTTTTTAGTTTGACATTTGATTTTGAATATGTAAAAAAATTTAGGAACCAAAATAACCTATAACTTATCGATTTTCTACATTTCTGACAGGTACTATATTTTGCAATGTTCCGAGTAACTACAGGGGCAGTCTTGTGTCTTATCTTGAATGAATGTCAAGTTGAATGTTGAATTTTCTGCATATCTCTCTTCATGCTATTTCTTTTCATATTGATTTAAGTAAGATGAAAAAACACAAAAAATGTAATACTGAGTATAATCCATGAAAAGGAGTTAAACTTGTATAAACTGATGAAAATTAAGTATTTTTCTGTTATTTATTATTATAATGTACAAGAATGCCCAATAAATAATAGGTTTATCTATCTTTTTATACTTTCAGTGTTGACAGTACAGACTTGTATTATATTAAGATATCAGTGTTACACAGCTGAAAATATATATATATATATATATATATATATATATATATATATATATATATATATATATATATATATCACTTGAACATAGTTTTTATTTCATCATTAATTGAAAATTATATCATGCCCAAGAGACATTCACCCAGGTGCAAAGTGTTGGAAAGTCGTTTTAAGGTACTGGCATGTTGATGTCAGTGAAGAGGCTGCTTCTAGCACCAGTCATTAGCTTCGGAAGTGTACCTAAGACAAGGTGGTTCTTACAAAGATAGTGATTGTTTTTGTTATTTTTGTTTAAAGTCTTTAGTGCGTAGTAGTAAAACCCCCAAGAATGATCAACCTGAACAAAGTGAATGCAAGTGTTGTTTACCTTTTTGTCAGCAATCCTCTGGTTCTCATGTTAAGAGGACAAGTCTTGGTAGTCCTGAAGACAAAGTTTCATGTTTTTCATTAGAATCTACTGTCTCCACAGTATCAACATTACCATTTACCTTGTGTATCCCACACTATAGTAGGTACTATGATTTTTTTGAGGCGTCCAAAGTGCTTTTCCTGTTCACGGGATATTGTGCGCAGTACAACTGGCAGTAATCCAGGGGAGGGCATTAGTAGAAGTACTTGTGTAGATATATGTTTTGAAGTTGGTTTGTTGTTGTTGATCTGTGTGTGTTAATTCTTGTTGTTTGCATTCAGTTGTTCTGTAAGTTTACATTGTTTTTAATCTGAATGTTGAGAATTTGTGTTGAGAATGTTGAGAATTCTCACACAAGCATGCATGTGAGTTTGTGATTGAAAGATACATTTTTATAGTTAATTAAGCATGCACTATTTAAAGAGTTTCATCTGATTGTGAGCAATTCGTTGTTTCCTCAGTGTTTCACATTTGATAAAACACCATGATACATGCATGGTAGTTGAGGAGAACTTCACAGTTTGTGTATGTGTTTCATATAACATTCCTAATCCTTGTTAGCATATATTATGTTTATCAAGACAGATTCAGTAACATGGTCCAAGATTTATCTGATTGTCATTCAATGTTATGATTTATGACAGAAATATATTAGCAGTATCATTAAAAGCAGTTCTGGTAATATTTTAGTTGATATTTGACTGCTACTAAGAATGTGACCAATTTGCTGGATTTCCGTGTTTTGAATGTGGCGTCGTGTTGCTGGCTATGGAGGTGAATAGTTACAGTTTGTGCGGAATATTAATCATGTGTATTAATATACATGTACATGTAGTTTGTTAATATTCAGCATATTAATACCATTCCTTTCATAGCCTATGCACACCTGAAGAGTTCTAATAAGAACGAAACGCCAGTGACTTGAAAGTCAGCAGCACCTGGGATCTTTTCAATAAAACCTTAATAATAAACCATGCGGTAATTGATTGTCTAGAACTTTTTTTTTAAATTTTTTATAGTAATAGTGTTATTTTACTATTGCAAAGTTTGAGAAATATTGTGTTAAGGGATACTAAGACCCAAAGAATAAGCTCAAATTGTTTGTGTCTATTTTAAATCAGAGATTGTTTTTAAATATACGTAATGCTCTGTAACTAAAAACTTTTTTTGATGTGATTTAACTTGAGTGGGACCATATACACTAATTCCTTTAGTTAACTAATGATTTATACCTCTTGACAGAGGCACACACACATCTATTTCTGCATGCTGTCAGGTTGCTACAGTGACCTCTTTAATCTCGTGCAAAAAAAAAACAATAATAAAAATTACAAAAAGAAGAAAGTGGCATTAGATTTATGTGAACATCATTGCATATTTATCATAGAGGTTTATTTCAACTTACCCTTTCTTGTAACACGAATAAACAGTACATACATATCTTTATAAAATTAGCTCAGGTGCATTTACATAACCCTGTGGATAGTTTTGGATTTTATGAGAGACATTATTTATTACATTATTATAGTGAAAATAAATTATAAAAAACTTAAGTTAACTATCATTTAATATAATAGCACATAACACATTTAAATGTGATGTTTCGTTCTTATTTGAACTCATCAGGTGTGCATAGGCATGGCATATTACCACAGACACTTGCTAATATTTTTTACAACTAATAATATGCCACACCAGCACACAATACCACAAAACAACACAAACATTATGGGGCAACAACCGCTAATTTTTGCAGGAAGTGCCATAAAATTGATTTTGCTGGGGTAAATGGGGATTTTCCCATACTAAGCAGTGGTTTAGTGAATTCATTACGACACTCAAAAGTTAGTCTAAGAATAATTCCTTTTTTTTCTTGATAGATTATTACAAAGGGCAGCCATCTATGAAGATTCATGTGGTCCAATGGAACCACATGCTTAAGTCCAAATATTCCAAATTAATTGCAACAACTGTCATTTTGGTGCTAAAATGGATTTTTTTTTTAGTTGTTTACAATGTTTTTCATGTGAAATATGGATCTCTTACATGGAGTTGCTATCCCTTTAAACATAAAACATAACTGGAAACAAGCAACAAACAAGTAATAACAAGACGGGTCAAGGCTTAAACAATGAGTATCCCCAGGCTCATGCTGATGATACAAATGAAATGACACATACACAAACTGAAAAAAAAAAACCTTCTCAATATTCATGCCACCCATATTTGATTTCTGATGACGTACAAAGATATTGCAAACATGAGGTTTTTTTAAGAATGCACCAAGGCAATCTACTCACTACCACAATTGCACAGTCACCTATAAATAAAGTCTGCACAGAGGAGAAGGGATGGATGGGAGTTTCTGCCATAAATCATAGCCTATATTTGTGAGGTTAATGATTGAAGAACCTCTGCACTTTTATCCTGGCAGTGACAGAGCAACAATCAGTTCAAAGCTTCTGTCTTTGACACATGTAGTCCCTCACACAGATGACCCCCCCCCCCAAAGAAAAAAAAAAANNAAAAAAAAAAAGAAAAAGAAAGAAAGAAATACAAGACAAATAGCTTTATGGTCAGCTGACAACCATTCATAAATGCTAACCAGTTATTTCTCACCATAAAGCGTTCAGCGTAATTATGGAACAGCATGTCATTATTAAATATATTTTTGTTCAGTAACAGCCCTTTGTTAAAAACATTCATATAACCTGTACTGGCCAAGAGGTTTCAGGTGTACGCCATCAGGTAGATAAACAGGCTGTTTAAGGTTGATTAGTCCCTTATGCCACCAGAAAGTTCAGACAGATGAGAGTTGTATTTATCTGCCTGCCCGTTAAACTGTCTGTCAGACCTGTCTGTATGACCTGACAGACAACAATATGATTAACACCAATCCCATGGATGGTGTTTGTCCTTCGTACCGAGTTCGAGAATTACAACCTGGGGTTGTGACGAGCGAAGAGAATGAAGATACTGAGAACGAAACTGTGAAAGAGTGGTGCCACCTCTTCCACGAAGAACGACAGAGCAGCAGGACGACAGGTTAAAAGACGGAGAAACAGAAGCACGGTGAGGAGGGACACAAATAAACACTGAGACGGGTAACGCAACTGTGGCCAGCGATGCAAACAACGGGTACTGAAGGGCATAGTAAAGAAAAATTGACGACAAGCGAAAGGAGCAAAAAGGACAGAGGAAAAGAATAACACAAAGTTAAAATAACAAAGCCAAATGGTTGAAAGCAACAAGAATGAACAAATGGACAGAAATATTAACTTACAAGTAGCTGCTCCAAAGGGAGTAAATAGTTACGTGTGATTGTCACCTTCCACACGGCATATGGAAACGAAAGTGCATGAAGTCAAAACGAGGCTGATATGCGGTAATGGCGAGTTTTTACACAACTGTGATTTGATTTGATTTGTGCTATTCCTGGCATGTGGATGAAGGTAAAGTTCCTTACATGCTTACATTGACAGAAAGCTAAATAAATTTGCCACAACTTACTGATAACTCAAAATTCCAACCTGTTCTTTAATAATGCAATCTTTAGAGTTAAACTTCCGTTGTACATGTAGCTTAAGTAAATTTTCGATTTCAAACTCCCTTTTGTAGACAAAATAGGTTTTAGAACAACTTGGAGAGCATCTACATGATTTGAAATTTACAGCTTAAAATGACAGTATACATAACAAAACTCTTTCTGACAAGGGGGGGGTTAGGGGGTCCTGATCCCCCCCTTCGGTTTCTGAAAAATATATCACACCAACATTCCCCTCTTGTAATTAGAATTTTGACTAGTTAAATCATAGTTCTAAACCGTACCAAAAGGCACTGTTTGCTCTCCAAAACACACACACACAAAAATAAAAAAAAAAAAAAAAAATTCAGGGTTCTTCAGCAGGCCCCAAACCCCACACCAAGAGGGCGATGGTCGGCTTCGCATCCGAGGCATGCAACCGTTTGGATTTATTTATTGTTTTTCGGAAATATGCGCCCCTAATTACGCTGTTTGATCCCATCCACTGGATTGTAGTAAATATTATTATTGTCGTAGTTGAATATGCTTTCAATGGCGTTGATAGCTGTTCTGGTTTACCCCCACCCCCAAAAGAAATTAAAAAAAAAAAAAAAACGCCGCTGTGGCGTCATCAGCTCGAGCTAGCAAATTCATTCCGATGTTTTTTTTAATGCGATAACATTACCTCATAAAATTACAATGTTTATCTCTGCTTTATCTAAGCAGACAAAAATCCTAATGTTACGACCCCCTTAACTCATGGACTGCAACTGCAGAAAACCGAGACAGCATCACGAGTTGATCCAAAACATACCTGCTTCATATAAAATTTATTGGTTGCTGCACACATATCACACATCACGTCATAGTTACTGTAATCTAACAATTATCAATGTGCCATAAAACACGATATCCTTAAAGTGAATTAAACTGAATGCAATTTAGCTAGAATCCCCTCGGAGTCATATCAACCTTGATAGTATGATAGGGTTATGGGAACCCTACCCTCTACCAGGGCGAGTGATAGATTTTTACAGATATTGTGAATATCTGTAAAAAATCTATCACTCGCCCTGGTAGAGGGTATGGGAACCCAGTCATACAGCTTTTTGTGAGAAGGCTTTTCATAGTTTTAAGTCCATGTGACAATGTGTTACTTTGGTCGTGTGTGATTCGAATACGTACGTGATTCAAATCCGCTTAAATGAAACGATTCCCACCACCTCTCTTCATATTTACAACTTATTCAGCTTTTACAACAGTCGATCACTATTTAACCTAAACACACGATCCATAAGCAATTCTGCTTCTGCCGCTCATTTGAAGAGGGGTTTCGTCTGTATCGTTCTCATCTTCATCATTCCGCCTACAGATGCCCTTACAAGCCCATTTAATTTTAAGCAATGGTCTTGCAATGCATTCACAGAAACACATCAACATACATTTCAATTCATCGCGGTATGGCCTAACACTAATACAGTACAGAAAAAAATTAGACGCATGATTCAAGTAAAAAAGAAGAATGAAAACGGAATACACGTAAGAAAACTTAATTAGATCTTGGTCACTGCCAGAGCCGTAAACGTCAATGATTCCAACCTGTATAAAATTAAATCCCGTGGTCAAAATACAATACGATGCCGTGACCAGGACCAACATTATTGTGACTTCTTTTTCCGCTTTTTCCCTTTCCACGTCGTCCTCTAAGTCACCATCATCACTAGATCCGTGGAAGTGATTTGGTACACTGATCTCTTCTTCAGTTCCTCGCGATCGTTTTCTTGCCAAATATATTTGGTACAGTAACCAACCGTTGATAACAGGCAGTAAAAGGCATGGTAAGGCCCAGTATATCGCAAAAGCTACCCACTTGTACACATCATAGAAGTCCAACAACTCCAACAACCCTGGAACGCCTGAAATTAGATCGAAGTCATAAAAGGGGGAACATTTGTGTCACGTCAGTGACATAGTCACTTTGTGCAATATTTGCATAGTTTTGACTTGCCCTAGTGTTTTTCGCTTTAGAAACTTATATTTACTATAGCAGGCCACCCTTCAATATATGGGAAAGAATCAACAGCAATTAAAGTGGCATAAAACAATTATACATATATCATAATGTGAATATAATTACCACTCTTTTTGGGTGGAATATGTATTTTTTTAGCTATTTAAAAAAGATGACAAGGACATATTTCCCGATAATTACTTTACAATATCATTTTTACAATTTGGCCATTTTTATCGCTATTTCAATGGATAATGGTTCTTCTTAATTTCAAGACGGAGGAGGGTATGATTTTAAAGGGATAACAACTGTTCGTTTTGGCGATAAACAAAACGGATTGTCCTGGGGTAAACGACGATATCCCATACACTGTACTTACCAATGTCTTTTTTTTTCGCAATAACTTCTTAAGAAATTAAATAATATTACGGACGTATTGCTATCTATGAAGGTCCACGTGGTCTGATGGCAAGCACAGATCCCAGAATAATTGCGGTAACTGCTGTTTGGGTGGTAAAATGGAATTTATTGTATATTTTTGATTTGTTTAAAATGTATTTATTATGAAATATTAATCTCATACGGACAGTTAATATCCTTTTTAAATTTGCTCTGAAAAAACGGGGTGGAGTGGAAACGATATTGAGAAAACGAGTTGGTCTCTAGATTATTGAATAAATTGAAGAAGCAAAGATGCTATTGCATTTATGTAATTAAGATTCATGAATAATTCAAGATTTATTGGTCATTGTTGTATATAATTCGTCTCTGTTAACCTTTTTGCTAGATAGCATCTACTGTATACATAAACCTGCCTATACGCACTCGAAGCTAAATACTTACCACAGTCATCACAGTCAGTACAGTTTCTGCACCTTTCATAGTGGAGTTCCAGTATATCCCTGCTATCATGGTATATATTCCAACAAACCCACTTACTGCATTCCTTGAAGTATATGTTGGTGAAGAATATGCAGATATTCAAGAGCACCATGGCCAAGACAATTACCACGATATACAAACGAGTCATCTTAATAGAAAAGCACCTCTCATGAGCACAAGGGTCAATAATTCTCATAAGTCTCTCGATGCTCATGACAATCAAAGTAATCCCGCTAATTTGAGGTCCGCAATACACCGTGAATACAGTTATTCTACATGTCACTTCACTGGCCGTCATCACAGGGGTTAAGAGCTCGTATTCAATCCAGTAAAAAATACCATTTATCAATATCAATATGTCCGCCACCGCTACAGCGATCAAGAACTGACAGGTCGCTACACGGCGGAGTTCTTTTCGGGCAAAAACACATATGGTAAGTGTATTGCAAATCAACCCAATGCAATAGATAAGCGGCCGGCCAACGTAACGGATATAGTCCGATATTTGAGCGTCGTGTTCGTAATCAGTTCCGCTAACGTTGAAATAATCCGAATAATGAGTGCGAATCCTTGCAGTTGTGACGGATTCTTTTCTTCTTACTTGTGTGCACTTAAGATAATCTGTTTGCGTGCAGTTGCCCAATTCAGGCTCTGGTAATGACCCATAAATATTCGTCTGGACATTTTCCCAGTAACGCTCGAAAACTGTTACAGCGTATCCTTGACAAAAGAACAGGAGCAATATCGTCGAAATGCCAAATTGTTTTGCCATTGTAATCCGTCGCTTCATCATCTCGAAAGACTTAGGCCTAATGTAAAGGAACACTTTGATAACAAACTGTCTTCCTCACAAGTCAGCATTAAAATGATATCAAATACGCAGCCAGACAGAACATTACCTAACTTGTCTACTGAAACCACCCTGGGGTTCAAGGGACAGCAAACTCATCGCTCTACTACATTTATCAGTTTTATCAACAGGCATTTGCCTTTTCCTCAAGTGGCGCCCTCACGGTCGACCGGACTACGCCATAGGATAGGATACGGGTGGGATGTGATTGGGTGAGATGGGATGGGATAGGATAATATATAAGATAGGGAAGGATAGGATAAGATAAGATAGGGTACTACAGGATAGGGTAGGAAAAGATAATAGGATGGGATGCAATAGGATCTTGCCGTTTTAAGTTTCAATGCCCTTAGAAACTCAGGGTAAAAACCGTCTTCAGTATAAACAGGCCAAGGGTATTTGGCGGTTCCAAAGTCTGTACAAATGTCTACAATATCCACACACTACTTTAAAAACTGATAAAAATGTCCTTTTATCTTTCAAGGGCAAAACTTGCTAGATTAAGCAAGTTTTGCCCTTGAAGGTGTGATGTCTATAAGAAATGAAGTATATGATCAAAGATGGGGAGTCTATGGCCCCATTCAGAATAAGAGACTAGCTAGTCCGCAGGTCAAATATGGCGGACCCACTTGAATACTTCCCCACGGGATATCTATTCAGTGTCTATTAGCAGATTAGGCGGAAAGCCTTGCAGTTGGTCGCCATATTTGACCCTTGGACTAGCTAGTTCCCTATTCTGAATGGTCCCTATGTTATAATATAAACCCCCACCCTCCTTGGCCTGGTATTTTGGTATTTTAGAGGGCGGACAGTGTCATTTGGTACGGTTTAGAACTGTAATTTAGCTAGTCAAAATTCTAATTTCATTGGGGAATATTGGTGTGATACATTTTTCAGAAACCGAAGGGGGGGGGGGGGGGAGTCATCTAAAGCCGACGCTAGCTTGTAGGGGCGGATCCAGGATTATTTGAAGGGGGGGGGGGGGGGGAAACCCCTTGGGGGGGGGTTGGGGCAAAATTTTAATTTTAAAGGGGGATCATTGGGGGGTTTTTTCCATAAATCGAAGGGGGGTCGGGACCCCCCCCCCCCC